CTGCCACCTAGCGCTGGTCAAAAATATACGCAAACCTTCGTTATTGCAATGGGTCGGACTGAACAATCACTGAAGCAGGGACAGGAGACGAAGGAGATATGTCGTATCAAGCAAGGGCGTTCATTATTCTGGTACAACAGAACAAGCCGATTCCCAGCCAGGATTGATGGGGAAAGTCCATAACAAGCACGGCAACAATGCGTTGGACTTGTTCAGATGCTGCATGCTTTTTCGACCCATTGCGCTATGCTCGGCATCTCACTCGGGGTTCGGGATCCGATATCGCTCGGGATTTCGGCCAGACCAGCACGTCGTTTTTCCGAAGCGTTCCTACGTGAAACACGATCAGATTATTGACTGGCAGTGCACATTCATCTTTTCGACTGACAACAGAGGAACGCCTGGACATGTAGAATGGCGTGTTTTACGGCCGAAATCTGCATATATACTGTTGGCTGGGTCCACCAACGACGCAATCCGCGGGGCATTTTGGGGTACCCCGGATTAGGTCCGGCCGGCCGCTCATATTCAGACTTCCGTTCATCCGAAGCATCCACTTTCCAACACCCGAGCCGACAGCCATCACGGTGTATAAGTGTGCTTGAAAACCATATGCTTTGATGAGCCTGAACCACTTTAATGATTCTATCCAAGTCGTACATGCCTTATAGCTTTCACCCATAACATTTTCTTTGCCTGCTTCAATCCTCTAACGTTTAAACACTTCACAATGAGTCTTCCCATTCGCACCGCTTGCCGCGTCATTCGTGCTCCGCCCGCTGCTCAGGCGTTGCGCCATGGGCGATGGATGGCGACGACCAGTACTCCTGAGTTCTCAAGCACGAGGGACACTGTGGTGCGAGATGCCATCATGGACAAGCTTTGGGGAGCTGAGGCAAGCCAAACTGCGGATCCAGCATCGGATGCCACAAGAAGTGTCGGTTCTGCCACTTCATCAGACGCAGAAATCTCTTCTGCCCAACCCCGGCTCTGAGGCTGCGTCAGGCTTCGCTGGACATTGAACCTTAGACAGACTACGGCAAAACATGACAGTTCCATAGTCAGTATCTTTTCAGGTCTTCGATCATTGCGAATCTTTTTGAAAGCTGGTCTAACGACAACGTCTTCAGGCAAAACGTCGAAGATTCACCTGCTCGAAGCCTACCAAAGGCATTGG